TAACATGAAGTGAGATCTTACAAAAAGCTAGCCTATGATCGACAGATGCCAAATCTTAGGTTTTGATGTGATTATATATTTCTTTCATGCATGATGGTTTAGTTCTAGGACTGGAGTTTCAGAAAGACAGCAATCAATGGGTCTGTGGAAGAGTACACAAAATTTATTACTCCTGGCAGTCATCGAGGCAGAATTATTCAAAAAATAATCTGAAATGCATTTGATCATACACCAGAAGTTTTAATAATTTATATTATACCTTATTAGCAAAGTCTTGTGTTTACTTTGTGACTGCCAAAACAAGATGAAAGGCTGCCTCCATGGAAATACAAGATGCTTAGCTCAAAGTGTCTGTCTTCGCATTTCAGTTTCATAATTTCCCTTCTTCCCCTTATTTTGATTAATAGTCTATGGTGTGAAATCTTAGAGTACCTTTTCCTTCCTTTTTAGTGGTCCTTTTTAGTGAGAGCAATGCTCCTTAACAAGTCTACCAAAGAGTTTATGTCCTATCAAGACTGAAACTAGTATAAACGTATGTTTTGGAATTTCTTTACCTTAGGGTTTCCTCCAAGTATTTTTTGGTTAAAAGAGGCTTTGAATTCACTTCTAAATTCTACTGAACTGACTCATTATGATAATCTTCCTGAGTCTTGCAGCTACAAAAGTATGATTTCTGAGCTCAGCTTAAGAAACTGTTGCACTCTGAGTAATGATTGTGTATGGTAAATATCACAGCCATATCAGTTCAGAATATAACAAAAATTACATAAAGATTTCCTTGAAAAGCTAGTGTACTGTAAATATTTTATCTAGAGGTACAAATAAGGGCTGTTCAGAGTTAATACTTCTATGAAGTGAGAGCATGGGGAGTGGACCCGTGTAAATACTAGTTCGGAAAATGAGTTCTTTGCCTCAACCTAGGTTTTTTACACCAAAGGTTCATAAAAGAGCTCTAATAAACTTTGGTCTCTGTAGAAAACTACCCTCCTCACAAAACATGAAAGATCTTTCCTGCAGGTGACTTGGATAGCTCTTTGAGGCACAGTATATAGAAAGCTTTAGGAAAAAAAACAGGTATGGGAGGATCTCAGAATAAAGCTCTACAGTATTGCAAACTCTGAAGCTGATATAATAGCCCAGATAATCTCTTGTAATTTGCCTTGTCTACCCTAGAAGGCTTAATTTTAGTTTTAGGTTCTGTAGCCTCATCCTTTCCCCTCCTTCTTTGTGAGTGCAATATACACTACTGTATACTTCACCTGAAAACTAATTCCTCAGGCAGAGCCTGCAGAAGCCCTTTTGCCCAAATGAGATTATATATGTAGTGTTTTTCACTAATACATCTGTTTTATATGATACTTGTTTGTTAGGAAGAACTTATATTTTTGGCAGGCCCTTCACTGTTGTCCAGACTGCAGTGAGGGCCACTCAGCCCTTAGTTCAGGAGTACAAGAGTGCATTAACATGGTCAACTAAGCAGACTCCTCTTCCCGCTGAGAGTTTTGTACCATGTCCTACAGAGCTGCACAGCAGACTATTAGGAAGAGGCATCCACCTGCAGGTGTCTCTGAGTGATTATTCTGGTTTTAAATGCTCTTGTATGAATCTGGGGAGGGGGACAAAAGACTGCCATTTGCTTAAGGAGCCTTTCGTTTGCAGGGAACCAGATGTACCCTTTTTTTACAAATACATGTTCTGTGGCAATAATGAGGGAAATTTTCAAGGGAGCCAGTGGTATTACCCATGTGTCAGTGTTGCAAGGCAGAAGTTTGGGCCAATCTAGCGAATAGTTCTTAGAAAATACAGATCAGATTAACATATTCTTTACTTTTCTTGAAAGTAGGTATTTGGCAGGATCATCTGAAGACATATGCATTATCAAACAGAAATGCAGTAGTGTTTTAAGTGGTAAGCTGTGAAGTGCATCTTTAAGAAAAGGGTCATTTCAGTTTGCAAATTGTTGAGGTTTTGTCCATATAAGAACTGTTTAATCCATGAGAAAATTTGTAAAGAAATCATGTTAGCGAGATAATAGGAGTAGTATTTCATGTATGCATCCATTGAAAAAAAAAGCTTCTGGTTTAAATTGTTTGATAATCTCTTACATGAGCTGAGATACTGTGAAAAACTAAAGTTCTGAGCAGTTTAGAAAACATGACTACCAATAGAAACAACTGCATCAGAGTTCAAAATGTAAGATAGGAAGAAAACAAAAGAACAGTGAAATTGTGATAATTGTACCTCTAACCAAGTTAGGTTTTGATATTAATTAAATACTGCGAGATAAAATCTCACCTATGGAAAGAAAATAAAAAATGGGTTTAGTGTATCAGTATGATCATCTCATTTATGGGAAAAATGATAAAGTAAGGAAAAAATGGGTCTCACAGGTTTACCGGCTGACTTAGATGAAATGCTACTGGGACAACTGGTCATAGGGCCAGTGGTGTTCACCACTGCTGGAACTTTTTAAACCTTGCTAAAATCTGTTTTGCCATTCTGTCCTATAAGCAGCATGCAGCACTACCTAATGCATATGCATTGCATGTTGCAATAGAGGCATAAGAAAACAATATGGTAACAAAAAAAAGCTGTGTAGGCTATGCATGATCAAAATTATACCAGCAAGATGAGACTGTTTGGTTTTACGTTGGAAAACAGAAAAACTGTAAAACATAAATGAAATGCCAGTTAAATCACTACTGAAACTACGGCACAGAAACATGAATGGGTACATGAGACACTGATGTGTTTAACTGTTAGTGAAGGGGAAAAGAAAAAAACTCTCTCAAAACATTTTACAACTTGTAACTCGTGTTTGGGGCATTTTGCTGGCTATCCCTAGTCTCACAGATACAGGTAGGTAGGAACTGAAGCTGAGCATTGAGGAGAAAATTACGTCATTTATGAGGTACTGGCCCTTTTTATCTGTTTGCTAAGGGATAGCACCTAGACCTATGCAACTAAATATTCAGGACTTTTATCATGCAGTGTAGAAATATTTAATTAGGAGTTGGTAGTCTGATTGTAGTCAGGCAAATTTTAAGTCATGAATCAGTGAAAAATAAATATCAGAAGAAATCAGGCTTTAGTTACAGTGATATTTTTACAGCCTTATTCATTCTTTTAAATCACTTTAACCTTAGTCTTAATGTAACAACAATGCAGGTAAAAGCTGGTGATTACCATAAATTATGCTCTGTAGATTGGTAGAGATTTGTGAGACTTGCAAAGAGAAGAAAGGCTTTATAAATGTCTAGAAAGAATAAATTGCAAAGAAATTCATTTATAAAGAATCCTGAACATTTTCCAGTTTATTCTGCAGAGGTTAATCAGCTTTGATTTGGGAGGATAAAGTACCTGTGGCCAGGTACTAAAATTTCAGATGCCTTAGAAATTGATTGTAATTAATAACTAGTAGCAGTTTCCTAGTATTTGATGTTTGTCACGTTTGTCACAGTATAGACTGAAGTCCTGGAGTACTGTTCTTACCGTGCCTCACACTGCAAAGAACTACTACACCCCAATTTGCTTACCTATTGCCTTTCCTCTGTTTACCCAATTGATGATGTTCTAGGTGCAGTATGTATGACAAGTCATCCTCTATTCATAGTTCACTTGATTAGTAACCCTTTGCCTCTGTGAATTGAGATCTAATTCAGAAATAACTCAAATATTAGAGTAGCACTAACTCCGGGCTGTCATTTGTCCCTTTGATGCTTACTTACCTAACCAGTAGTAATCATTATTTTCCTTTTACTATTATTACAATGGAACTGATTGCAGAAATGGAAAACAGGAGGCAGTAACAGACAGTTTGAATTGTGCCATCACACTTTTGTGGGCAGGCACCTTTCTTGGAGCTTTGATATTTCTTTGAGTTTGCCCAGAAATATGTTTGGTAAAGGAGGGAGCGGGCATCTGGTCTGTATTTTCATGTGGCCCTGTTTCAGCTTCTTGGAAATAAAAGATTATCCAGATAGGTACCTTCTGGGTTCCTGACTTGTTTTATATGAAATGCGAAGGGGGGGGGATAAAAAAGTCTTTTTTAACTGGAAAATTTCAAGCCAATTAGAAATCCAGCTGAACTCAGTTGACTTCCTGAGAGATTATTGAAATAAAGGGAAGGAAACAGCAATTATCAACAGAAATACTGAATCTTATGATGCAACATCATAACACCTTTGTTTAATTACACCTTTCCTACTTACACCTCTTGAAAATGTCATCAGACTACAGTTGCAATGGATGCTTTTATTTTTGATATCTACAGTGCTAGCATGCTGAACTGAACAAGGTTGCAAGAGGGAAGAGCTTTTTATTGTTTTTCACTTGGATTTTCTGCTGAAATAGTGACTCGCTATCTGTAACGTGCTGCAGTTAAAAGAGCTCATATTCTTGGGGATCTTGGTGCTTGCAGTCAGGTTGGGAATGGTAATGGCAGGCACAGCAGGGAACTCGGATGCAATATGCTGAATGAGAAGGTGAGTGTTTTAGCACTCCTGAGGGTCAGAGGAAAGGAAAAGCCCTGTGGGAGGATTTTCAAGCACCACTGAGCTGGCACACCAGGAGACAATGATTGACTTTAGAAGAGCCCTGCTGTGCAAAGGATTGTAGTGTTGTGGTCCCCTTTATCACTGGTTAGACATTTCCTTTGGAGAAGCCAAAAATGGGAAAGTAGTGAGATAACGCAAAACAAATAAAAAAATAATTGTCAAACGACTCTCTTTGATGACATTGGGGTCTGGAGATTTGTTTCTGTTGCTAACAGCTTAATTTATTTGATGCTTAATTTCATTAGAAATATTGATTTTTTATGGCATTGATAAGATTTCTGTATGAAAAACTGATGACCTGATGATGCAGTGCAGGTTGAACTGTTGTTTGTCTTGAAAAGGTATACTAATTTGAACCTCAGTATAAAGAGGATGTTGTATTTGGTATGTACAATCAGAAATACATAACACTGTTTCAATCTTAATATGTGCATTTCTTCACAGGAGTTCAGATGTGGACCACAGAATGGCACAAACTGCAAAACACACCCTTCTGCTGAGATCCCAGTGAAAACACCGCTCAGCTCGTGGATGGCTTTGCAGCTCCCATGGCAACAAGGAGGTGGACTGAAGATACTGTCTGCCAGCCTGGCTTTACTAGCGGTTCTTGTTATGTTTTACTACGGTGGAATGAAAACAGAACTGTGAAATGAATGAGGCTTTTATGAAAACAATGAAACTGCTGTTTAAAATCTTCAAAGGAAACACTTTTACCAAGAAATCTTTTTTTTTTTTTTAATAATTCGTACTCACTCTATGCCTTTCCTGTCATTCAAAGGAGAAAACTTTAATAAGCTGTGGAGAGACCTATCTTGTCAAAACCTGAGATCTTTGTTTGGCAGAACAGTTTGTTGCATCTTCCCTTTTCTTTTTTTTCTGAAATGATGCAATATTTCCATTGCATACTCTTTTCATAACTGCTGTATCAGGTACAATTGCATGAAGTTTATAAGAAATGTTTCCATTGAGTGATATTGGTAATCTTTTATGGTCAGAATATTTAAAGCTTTCTTAAGGATTTTTCTTAGTGCAGTGTGATGGTTTGATATGTGTCTTTTTACATTAGAATCAAACACTGCAAGACCATTAAAGTTTGTCATTTGTTGCTATTTATTTTACTGTCATGTCTGAAAGAATTTTGCCTGCCGTCTTACCTCTCTCAACTTCGCAGTGAATCACTAGGCTTTCTTAATACAAAAAGAATTATTTTTTACATAGAAATACTTTTAAAGGTTTTTTAATTGAATGGGAATATGTAGAGTTCTATTAAAAGATGGATTTAATACAGTCTGTAGATTTAATACAATGCTCAGAGAAGTACATGTGAATCTCTATGAGCTGTGCGTTGGATCATGCTGTGTATAAGACAATATTACTGTGTTAGTGGGGAGGTTGCATTGGGCACACTGGAAATTTCTCATTACTTTCTTCAAGCCGGTTTTGTCATGACGGGATCTCCATGCATCTTGAGAGTGAGCTGGTCAGTCAGGGGCTGGACTGTGTGCCCAGTTCTTCCAGCAGCTAACTGCCTGATATTGTTCATTTGTTCATGCCCTGTCACCTTCCTGAATCTTCATCCAAACTTCTACTTGCAAAGGCTGTTTAAAATATTGAGAGCAGGAACTCTAGGGTTTAGGGTTTTTTTTACTTTTGGGATGTTTGTGTGGTACCCAGATGGAGTAGAACTGCCTACATGGCTGGTGTGATTTAACCCCAGTAGGCAGCTAACACAGAGCCACCTGCTCATTCCCCTCCCTGAGGAATTGGGGTGAGAATCCGAAGAGTAAAACTGATAAAACTTATGGGTTGAGATAAAGACACTTAAGTAGGTAAAGCAAAAGCTGCACAGGCAGGCAAAGCAAACCAAGGAATTCATTCGGTCAGTACTTTGGCAGGCAGGTGGGCAGCCATTCCCAGGAAAGCAGGGCTCCATCACACGTAACGGTGACTCAGGAAGACAAACACCATCACTCCAAATGTGCCCCCTCCTTCCTTTTTCCCCTAAACTTTTTATTGGTGAGCATGATGCCATATGGTCTGGAATATCCCTTTGGTCAGTTGGGGTCAGCTGTCCTGGTTGTGTCCCCTCCCAACTCCTTGCACATCTCCAGACTCCTCTCTCACGGGGCAGCGTGAGAAGCAGAAAAGGCCTTGACTCTGTGCAAACACTGCTCAGGAACAGCCAAAAGGTCCCTGTGTTAGCAAATCTAAAACATAGCCCCAGACCAGTTGCAATGAAGAAAATTAACTCCCAGCCAAAACCAGCACACTGTCTCTACAGTGCAGGTGAATAGTCCACTGGTAAGAATGCTTTGTACTTTATAAGCTGGGCATGCATAATGGTTACAGGCAATTAATCAGGAAGTTCCACCATGATGCTTTCAGCACAGCCTGTAAATTATAACAACAGATGTAACTGTCTTCAGGAAATCAGGTATGTGATGACTCAAATATTATACTTCTTATTGCTACCACGGAAGGTCTTGAGCCACAACTCAAAATTCATAAGATTTTAAAAAATAAAAACCAAACCAAAACCAAACTGTGCCCTTGATTTGCCTCTGTTTGGTTTGGGTTTTTTCCATGCTTTTCTTTACAATCAGAAATCTCAAACTATCAGTAATTTACATTTTTAACAAATTTGAGAAGTTCTTTTAAAAAAGCACAAGCTTGACTGAGGGAGTTGAAATTTTCAGGAAAGTACCACAGATTGCAAGATTCTCAGGAAAACTACGGATTGACAAAATCGTTATATCTGAGCCAAATTTTTGCATGTGATGAGAATAAACTATGCAGATATGTTCTATGCCTCTAGCATTCTCTCTGTCAGCCACTCTAGCTTATCTAATCGTAGCAATTACAGATTCATTGCATCAGCTATTACAGAGATTTACAGAGCTTGTGATTTAGATACTGCGCATCGTGTACTTTAATGGGACCAGCTTATTTCCTTAGAAATAGTGCAATATACTGAAAGAGGCCAAAGAAGACTTTGTAAATGACATTACCCACTGCAGATGCAGTATATTCATAAACTGTCTTAATCTGATAAGTAGGAAGTGTTGTTTATTGAGTATTTTGCTATCTTTCTTTAGATTTTTGAGGGGGAGTTTTGACACTTTGTGTTGTAGGGCAGTAAGATGTTTGTCTTTTTTTTTTCCCCATTTATGTACAACTAAAGCTTTCAAAGCCTCTGAGCTGAACAGATTAGTTCTGGTGAAATAGCTCACCTTGACTTTCAGGCCAAGCCAAGACTGCATGGTGCCTGGGGCTACTGGTAGAGGTTGGGAAGCCTCGGTGAGTGTAAAGTGGACTGCAGAAGTATATCTACTTCATGGAACGAGTTGACCTGAACATATTTGATCTGTGATTTTTGACCCCATTTGGATCCCTGAACGCTTCTAACTGCCGTGCCAGGCAGCATTTTTAATTTTTTCCATCGACATTATGTTTGAGGCCTACTTCCACCAAGGATTCTCTCTTTACAGACCATCAGTGCAGGTGAGAAATCTACTGCACTCCAACTTATCAAGGTCATTGCAGGAGAAGTTTCCCCACAGTCAGTTGATCACACGTTTTCACATCCTAAACACACTCATCACTAGAGAATGTGTCTGCTAATAAGCAATCTACATTCAGTGTCTTTTTTTTTCAAAGCAAAAACCGTATATAATTTCCATTTGGTACCAAGAAAACCTCAACTATTTTTCTTAAATGTCTGTGGTAGTTTCCAATGAGGAATCTTGCAAACCACAGGACCCTAAGTAGCAAAGACATCTCTTGTGAACAACATTAAGTACACACATTATTTTTTACTTCTGCATTGTATGCTGGAGGACTTCTTCATTTAATCTTTTCATTGTAGCTTTCTGTTAATGTATACTTCTTAAGAAAAAGAATATGAAATAGAAGAAATGGTTTATGTAAAGGTAGTTCTATAAAGCAAAAGAGAGAAAGAATGAAAAGAAGGTACCTTTTGAGGAGAGTGCATTCACCTCTGTCACATCGTTCCTTGCACATCTCTGAACATCTGACAGCTTCTGTTAATCTAGTTTCACTCCACAGTTCAACTTCCCATATGGAAGGCTGGAGTGATTTTTGAATAACAGCAAGTAATATCTGGAGTGGCAGCAACTGGCAACTCTGACATTGAGCTTGGCTGTGGCCATTACCCAGAATCCTTCTGCTCTTCTTGAGGAGCAATTACAATTTCACAGGTTGGAATTAAAATTCCCTGCGGTATGCAGTAGAGTAACTGAAACTGTCAAAGTGATTTCAAGCTGCTAATCTCTTGCTGCTCGAAGAGTGAAAATAGAGCCCCTCTTACCCAGGCACAGATCTGACAACTTAAAAATTCCAGCCTTCCACTACGTTTAAATACATATGGAGAGTGGCTTGATCTGCTCACAGAGGATATCTGTAAAGATGTTATGTCTATGAACATTTGTGTGTTATTAACAAGTCTATCTTTTTTAACTTTTAAGACGTGTGTAACTTCAGGGAGTAAGATGAATATAAAAGAAGTCTTATTCAAAAGCTCTGAGAATTTGGAGGAATGAGTAGGCATGTGCCTGTTTCTGTGAGGCTTATTAAAAAAATCTTTATTTATGTCTCTTTGAACATGTATTTTTTGCTAGAAAAATTGCTTGCAACTTTCCCAAATTTTTTTTCACGTATTTATATCCCACATTATATTTTCTATGCACTGTGTTTGATTGTATAGATAGAAACAAAGAGCATCTAGAAATCAGAGTTAAAAATTGAGGGGCTGTAAAACTAGGGTGCAAATTGAAAAATATTAGTGCAAAAGCTGCAGAGCAAGTTTGAACTAGGAGACACAGCCCAGAGAGTTGGGGACTGGCTGCAAAACACCATTTGACTTGTTCAGAGGCAGGGTTCATCCACTAGATTATTAAAATTAGAATGATTGCTGGAAATTGTTTTTGCAAATATCATTAAATGTCTTTTAGTTCCATGTGTCCTTTTAACATTCAAGTGAATGGTTTTTATCTTTAAATGAAGGTGCTTCAGTAGCTGGTAGAGGGGAGATGAATTATGAATCGTCCTATTTTAATTTTAAAGAAGCCCGATTAAAAAAAAAAAAAAGAAATAATCATGTCACTGTACATGCTGATATCCCAGAGTCTGTTAATTCCCACTTGGGAAACTGTGGTTGTGGACTTGGATCATTAATGCTGTCCATTCAGGTCCCGTGAATGGAGAAAGAGTAATATTTGAGTATCTTTTCAACAACCTTTATTTTGTTGGAAAATGCTTAGCAATTATAGAGTGGTGTTAACATGATGTTTTATAGAGGACAATCTGCCTCGCATGGTTTGCTGAGTGCTGGTCGTAGGTAATGGAGTGAATTTCCATGTTGGTGACCAGTGTGTGATGCAGATTTGTGCCTACAACTTGCATGCTTTAAATGTCCCATCTGTCTTTGAGTGTGAAAACAGGCTAGTTGTGCTCAACTGAGCATAAAATATTGTGTTTACTCCCTTCCTGAGTAGTGTTTGTGGGGAGGGTTTACAAATGTTAGTTGGCAATGGGTTACAGATTATAGGAGAAGCTTGGAGATGATAAAACACACCAAAAAAGGGCCATGATTGTTTGGCATATAGTAGGAGTTGGGGATCTGAGAGAAATTAATGTGATGAAATCATGACATGATGGGAAATTTAACTTTGCATAGTTAGGATCTCATTATAGTATAATCGGAAGAATAAAACTTTTATGGTGCTTGGAAGGCTTTGCTGCACAGACACCCTTCCCAACTGCTCATAACTCTTGGGCTTACTGTTGTGTGATAGAGCAGTCTGTTTCACCACACTACTGTCACAGCCAGAGAAAAGCAGTCCAGCTCACCTGGCCTAGAGTTGTGAACTTGGAACATACAGTTTTGTGGAGGAGGGCATTCCAACTCTTATTACCTCTCACCCTGCTTTGTCAGAGCATTACATGTCTGTCTCATTGCTCTGCAGGGAAAATGGGTAAACTGTGACCAGCAAAGAAACTTGCTCTGTCCAATGGCATTCAGTAAATTAGTCATGCTATTTAGTGGTTGCAAGCTTTGACTCCTTGTTTGGTTTTTAAGTACCTGCATTCCATTG